CTTTTTCAAAACGGTTTTTGCATATTGTAGGGACGCATGTAGGGAACACAAAACCATGTTTCATTTTCGCTGAACGGTTTTAGCAGTACCAAAAAAGAAGCATAAGGTACTGTTAATGGTTCGATCCCCCGTGGCGACTAAATTTTGCATTTGGGTTGGCGCCTACGGGTTGGTGCCAAATCGCGCTAAATGTCAAAATCAGATGTCAATTCATCGTCAGGACCATTTTGAAGCCAACAAGTGGCCGCCAACCTTGATTGCAAAATTTAGTCGCCGCGGGGGATCGAACCATCAAGAGTATTACTTTTTTGGTACTACTAAAACCGTTCAGCGAAAATGAAACATGGTTTTGTGGTCCATACATGCGTCCCTACAATATGCAAAAACCGTTTGAAAAAGCGTGGCTTGCCCTGAAAGACCCCCCTTGTTAGACGGATAAACTTGTTAGCCAATTAACTGCTTTCTAAATTGCAACCATGTTCAGGACGAATGCAAGCCGAAGTCGTGTGCGGAAGTATGATCTGATGTCGGCGAAAGACTTACAACGAACGGCGCTGGCTGTCGATTCCGATTCTGAAGACGATCTTTTCGAGCCGCCGTCATCTGATCGGCAAAAGCTGGTCGTGGCTGGGTCTTCGTAGCATTTTGAAGCAACGGATGCTTATAACAAACGTCACTCATTAGTGCATATCGTTTTATTTGAAGCAGTTTCTCAGTGAATCGACTTGTTATCGTCATAGGATTTAATACGGTACATTTTGTGGTTGAGCAAGCAAATAGAGAAGGAACACGATTTTTGGGTGCAGCGTTTATTCGCGCTTCTCTGCACACATTTGCGTCTGGCCGCGCGCGCCAAAATGGCGCGGCAATGGCCGGCTGCGAAGTTGCCGCGCGATATGGTACCGTTAAGTCGCGCGCCATGCGCGGCATCTCTGAACTGCGAAAATACCCTTCAACTTTGACTCATATCTTACTTACTATTACCATATAAATAGCCAGGTGGGCAATTTCCATTTTCCATGACGTCGTTCATTCCGTAAATAGTGAAATGTCATCTCGCATTCGTTGAATCAACATTTCTGATATTCTCTGTAAATAGTCGGTGCGATGTTGGTTTTTCCTCGCTTTTGTTGTTTTCTTATTGACATTTCCGATGACGTTATGTGCAATGTTGTGCCATACAGGTACGGTTTGTTCACGATCTCGGTACAGAAAGAATTTATTCGTTTATTCGTTTTACAAATAAAACTTGTCATCTACAAGTTAATTATGCCAATGGTTTCTTGTGGAATAGCTAAATGTCAGCGTCACAAAAACGTCCGAAAGGGCGTTTCATTACCATCGACTTAGTAACTTCAGGCTAACTTCGGAGCAATGTGCCTCCAGGGTGGAGGGAGGGGGCATCTTTAGAAAGGCCACTAGGACTAAGCCCAAGGAGAGGGATGAATTCAGAGAGAATGAGAATCGCACACGCACCTCGAATTCCTTCTCCTCTGAGGCGACAGCACGCTCGAATTTCCTTTCTTGCTCCTGCTGAGGCTTGAGTCATAAACTGGCGGTTGGCATCAAGCTAAGCAAGGTGGTCTTAAGAACTTGAATTCGCGAACGGTGTGAATGAATGGAGGTTGAATCAATACCGAAGGAACGATTACGGCTTTTATGAATCATTGAAGGGAACCTGAGAGCGCAGCGTTAGCACACGCAGGATTGTTCTGACCGTGTCCCTGCTTAGCTGTATCGGATTTGCCGGGATTGACGATTTAGATAGTAAGGACGTTAACGAAGACTGCAGATGCTACGAGCCTCATCCTTAACCTACTCAGTCACTCCCGATGGTACACTGCGCATTGAGTTGGAAGCAGCAGACCGGACGCAATTTTACTAAGTGAATTTGCCGGCCGACATCATGGTACATCCGCGTGCAGCGTAGCGCCGGGCCTCCAGGCAGAGGCTTGCGAGCAGAATGAGAAAGTCTTATGGGAAACGCTACACGACCGTACTGATCGACCGGAACAGCGCTGACCATCGGGAGAAATTCTTCTTCTGTGAATGCGATAAACAAAAGGCCGAATCCCTAGTTGGCCACCCAGTCCACCGCGGACAACAGATATGGTGTGGGCTTGGTATGGGCTGCTGCACTCTACACCGTCACCATTCAGAGCAAATCATAGGCTCTGTATCATGAAGTGTTTGTATCAAGGTTCGGTTTGATCGAAGTGCATAAGGTGAGCTGATTGGAAAAGCTTCGGAGCGTTGGGCAACGTAATCTGAGAGAACGGTTGTGAAATCGTCACCGAAATCCCTTCTCGAAGGATTAGGGAGGCTATCTCTGCCAATGGGCCAGAAGTTCAAATTGCGAAGATAACTCGCACGTTTTGAGGGTGGTATGGTTTGCGACCATCGTAGGTAGCATCCATCGTACGGCTCTGACGAACTGTATCCACTCGCTCTCCAGTAAATGGGTACATTCCAATGATCATGGTAGCTGTTACATAGTTGATCAGTCGAATTTCTCAAGAAAGATGAATCTCGGAGAGAAAAAAAGCGCAGAAATACGGACAGAAATTATGAGATAATACAACGAGGGATTCCATTATTGCCAGAGAGATCATTGGAGATGATTCCTTTCTTCATCCGGCAGAGAAAGAAATACCAGAGGGGGGGGTTGAGAGAGAATTCCGTTATGATCAGCAATAAGCCGCAGAGGCAGAATCCTTTGATTGCGGTGTCGCATAGGAGGGGGTGGTGACAGGTTAGTCTAAAGTGCAATTATGGGGATATCACCTCGCACCTACACTCACCTGCCTGTGGAAGACCTTGTTGATTGCAGTGGGTTGTCTGCTGACCTCTTCCTCCCAGACTCAGTATCGATCATATAAATAGTGAAGTTTATCACATAAAAAGTGTGTCCAAATTTAGGATCAAAAAAAACAGTAAAGAAACAAAACAGGAAATATAAAAACACTCCAGTAAACATCAGAAATTAAAATAAATTTGTGGTTTTTTAAAAAGCAGGAGATGGAAGAATTTTAGGGTAGGCATTTGAAATTCAGATATTTTTCTCTGTGCTAGTTTGACTAAATTTCATTTCGTGTTCTTAGTGTAGCGTAGAAAACTGCATCGTATAACTTCGTATAATGTGAACCGCCATCAATTCTTACAATAAATTTCTGCGAAAAAAATGGGTAAATTGAGACGAAAACAAACATGCCTTAGATGTTTGGAGTGATCCGCGCCTCACTATGAGGAAGACCTCTATGTACAGTACGGATGACCGGCGCATTAGGCTCTGCAATGCAAGCATTGTACGTAAGCAATCAAAGGATCGTATCCCAGTCGTTTACAGCCAAAATCGTCTCCATATGCATCTCCACCGTGTCACCATAAGCACGCGACTACCATTCAGGCTCGAAGTTAGGAAATCCGAAGGAGCTAGAGATCTTATCAAACTCGTGTGCTGTCAGGAAATATAGGTTCTGGTGCATATATATATGTTAACAGTGCTTGCCTTCCCGAATTCGATCAATATATACTATCATAGATTGTCCAAATTCTTTCACATTTTTGAGCCGACAGTATCCAACCAAAAGCCATATCCAATTTAGTATGGTGCATCAGGCTTAAACGTCCAGCTTATTTTGGCAGAAAGATGCAGCAAAGTTGATGTGCCGAGCTGTCGGAAGGTCGCAATTTCATCTAGACAGGGCAACGAGGTCGATTTCGAGCTTGTTTTGTATGAGTCTTATTATTGTTTCGTGTACGATATATTCATTAAGTGCAACTGATAATAGGCCTTTGGATGTATGTGATCATCGCTGCACAGTGAGATCTGGTGCAGACTCTCAAATGAGTTTGCCAAACTCCTAGACCCGTATCAAGTTCGAAGCGCGGGGCCATCGCGTTGTAATCTACTGGAATGACGTACAGTGTATATCCTAAGCTCCTCTTTTCCTACCTATATCCATCGTATATCCAATATGCTAGTCTACCAGCGATTTTCAATGCGATAAACGTAATCTAACTGGTCAGGAGCAATTCTGCTACTCCATTACTTCGTGATCTCCCGTCAATACATATGTTTTCATTATCGGCCTCCGGTACTTACGTGACCGCGTGTGACTGCCAACTTATTTCGCACTTTCAATCAGCCACATGAGCACACTGAATTTGTATATGTACATTTATTACAGTACTTCACGGTAACAATGATCTACACGGGATACTAAAGCACTCAATTGCACCGAAATGTATGGACGCGATAAAACGCTACTTCAAATTTCTAAACAATAAAAAAATATGCGAAGAGATGATTGCAAATCAACTGCAGACAGATGGAAAGTGCTGATATAGTTCTGCAACATACCGTAGATCAAACAGGACTGTCTGCAGTGGTGCTATAGGCTCTGATAAAACGTAACGACAACTGTGTGCGAAAATCAACATCAGTCACATCTGAACAAATAACTCAGCCAGCCGAAATGAATTAAAACCGGGGAAAAGTTTGTAGATCGAACGAATCGATTTCGCTGAGAAATCGATGAGATCTGTGACGATAGAATGAGGATATAAGCCCGTAAGTGAATGGAAAATGGGTAAGACTTTTCTGACGCAGACTTCTGGGTACCCGACAGGAGGCCCGTCGCGCGGCGAGAAGGAAGAGACACATACGGGTCAGCGGACGAGTCGCAGCGCGTCTGTGGCGATGTGGCCTCAAGTTAAATGTACGCGCTGCAGCCCATCCGCTGACACGTCTACGTTTCCGCCTACTCGCCGCGAGACGGGCCTCCTGTCGGGTACCCCAGACATCTACTGACCCGAAAACCGTCTTCTGAAATCCAAAACTCTGCCAGTTTTCGTCTTACCCAATTTCTAGAAATGTAGGCAAATGGGAATGCCACTACGTACAACTAAACGACCGGTTGAAGGAATGACTCATTAGATGCGATTTTTCCGATGCCAAAGTTGAGTAGTAATCATCGTCGTCGTTCCTGTTTCACCAGTCACAGGGGCAATCGGTCGGTACGGTGACATGACCATTGCTGAGTATCGGTGTTTCCGAAGGTGTCGGTACAATCCGCAAAGTGGGCATGACCAAGTGCCAGGCGCGTTCGTGGTAGGTGGTCGTTGTCGTCGTGTTTCAAACGGTGGTGGCGACGAGTCGGTTTCAAATATGGGCGGTAATCTGTTCGCTGTTCATCCACTTCGCATTCAGAATTCAACGATTCACTGACACCATCAATCGGCTGAACACATTTTGCAATACCATTTCGGGGTGCACCATTTGCCATCAGTGACGTCATCTGAAAAAAACGTAGTTCGTTGTATTTTGTGCCTAATAAATAAGCAGATTTAAAGGACTTTACTACTTCGGTTTCCAGATTTTATGAATTTTACTATTTTGAATTGGCTTTCCTTTGTCAACTGCTTTTCGCGACGCAATGAAATCATGAGAATGCCGAGTTCTGGACGAAAGATAGGCCTCTAAGAAGACTCAGAACAGCACTTATTCTTGTAAAGCATAGACATTTTTGTGTTATGACGCTATCGAGACACACGACACTTCCCTCAGATTTGACGAAGGACAGATGATTTTCAAGCATTTATCTGAATAGTAGACTCGCGTCTACTCGAGTGACACGACATATCTTGAACAAACTACGAGGTAAACTAGCAAACAGTATTAGCCTTCGTGGCAGCAGAGCGGGCACTTTATAGACCCTTCACAAACTGAAAGCTGAGCTTGCAAGGAGCGCCTGTGAAGGCTATGAGGTAAAAGCAATTGACGGCAGGTTCAGCCGTCGCACTTTTCCAGAAAATTTTCAACCCCCCCCTTAAGGGGTCTAGTTGCATTTGCGATTCCTTCATCACATTAGCCTTACGGAAACCCAAAGAGTCTCTACCTCACTACCCCGATCACTATTCACCATTCTGGCCATGTTGCTATGTGTGGTCAATGGATCTGAAGACAGTCGACACACCCCATCCGTCCGCCTTAACTAAAAAAAAAATCTGGTCATACCCATAACCCGTTTTTCAAGTTCCACCCTTCCTTTTCACACAGATAAATTAACTCCAGCTCCAAATTGCGACCATTCCTTCCCGAATGGTACCCATGCATTTTCAGAAGAACCGTAAAATGCGAGCCGCCCCCTCCCCCCCCCTAACTGTAAAGTTGTGTTTGAAAGCGCGGTTATGAGGGGTGGTGTGTTTTAGATTTTCGAAATACTGGTTCGCCTAAGAATATCGGCCCCCCCCTTACGTAGGGACGTAACCGGTGGAAGCGCGTTGTGAGGGTGAGTTGTTTTAGCATATTCGAAGTACTGTTCACTAAAAAAATGGGGGGTCAACTGTATAGCAAATTACGACTAGGATTTGAGCAACTTTTTGGAGATATTGCTGAAGAAAGAGCACTGAACAGCGCAAACGAATACATTGAGTAATCTTTTAGTGTTGGGAAGATCAGGAAAAAGAAGATGAAAAAGCATATGTCACGGTACGATAAACAATAATTCGTGACAAAATTAAAAGTTACCTTCTCGTTTTTCTTGGTGCATTCAAGAGCAACAGCTTGATGTCGTCTTAGTGCGCGCTCCTGACGGCGTTCGATCCTCGCTTGTTCCTTCTCCAGCAACCTAGCCTGTCTTTCCAATCGCAGCTCCTCTTGCTCTTGCTCTTCCTCAAAGTCCACGTCATCCCATAGCACCAGCTTATACAGTCCTCGTAAAACTCGAAACAACACTGTGATTACTGTACCAACAACCTGAAATTCGCATGCTAGATTTAGCTAAACTTCTTCGAGAACACAAAACCCAAGTAGACGAAAGTTACCTTCCCAGCGAGATAGATGACTGGAAATACGATGAAAAGAAGAATCGCCCAGAATGTTGCGGTAGGTCGATACTCTAGACAACAGGACGGCGCCACCATACTGCTGTCGTAAGGGTACTGCAATTGACAGGATTGATTTATATTGATTTTGAAAAAAAAAACTGGCAAAGAAACGCAAATCAGGAGCAAGTTTCACCCCTCTGGTATACATAATAGGTTGACCACAAACAGATTACGGTTGGTAAGAAATCACCGCATCACAGCGCCAGGTTATATTCTATGCTAAAGCGATTTCTAGCTAGACATCTCCAGTTAAAAACGTGCATAACTCACTGTGAATAGAGTAGTTCTCATAACTGAAATTAGCTTGAAACTTAGATAATCCCATTTTAAGATCCTGAGATATTTCCATTTGGGATCACACTTTCATTATTTCACTTTCCACAATAGCTCTACTCTGCTGCCGAATTGCACAATGGATATTCGGTAGACATACATAGAACAGCCCCTTTGGAGTGAGCCGCGCACTTGTCTTCAGACAGACATAGATTTTTTGTACTCGGAGACCGTCCGATTTGTAGCTCACACCAGTAAAGCATTACCATCTACTTGGACGCAACCTAATTTCTCCGAAAAACAGCTAAGGCACATTACAAACTCATTCTACAAGAAGAACAAAGGCAAACGAAAGGAGGATTGAGCATTAGGTGCTGATCGATCGTTTGTGGCTTGCGCCACGTTCTCTACTTCCCAAGCGAATTGCAGTGACATTTGATTGCGACTTGACTTGTACGATGGATTGGAAACCATGTGAGCTCGGTACCAACTAGTCAAACAAGGAATGTTAGTGTTGGTCAATTATGGGTGCCCATATCGAAGCTCTCAGCAAGAGCAAGAACAAGGACTGAATATCGGCTAACCCCAACAGATAGTGCAGAGTCGATGCCTCGCAAGCCTCAATCGGGTGGCCCACACGCAGTTCTGTGTAAAAATTCTCATACAAAATGTAGGTAAAAAAAGGCTCCTATGGTTAGGATGGCCTTGGTCCACTCTCCCTTATGACCCTTTTGCACGTTATGGCAATGAACACGATTACTAGAAGGAGAACCACCTCACAGTGCTTCTCCATCAATGACACTCCATGACGTCGTCGAAACCACCATCTTCTAGTAATCGTGTTCAGTGCTCAAAATGGAAGATCCCGTGTCGCGAGTTCTGAGCGTTTCCTTCGGTCTCTTCACTTCCGTAGCAATCAAAACGTAACTCTTCACAGGACGCCAACCATTCGGAAGACCTTTGGTTTCAGTACGAGCGTTTCCTCATTCAGTATGAGTACAGGGGATCCACCAATGGGTGGGACACTTGCAGTGGTCGAGAGCAGGATAAAAACTAACACCTCCGTCAGAAGGCAAGAATAAAAGTGACAATCAAAATATTTGCCGAAAATATTTGAGATACAGTTTTATGATAACTACCCTTAGGTCTCAGCTTGGATACACTGTGAGTTGGGCTGGTATGGTGCTTCGCCTACTTCTCTACAACGCCTCAGCCATTGGACGTAAATTCATCACATCGCTACAGGTAGATGAACGAGCGACGCTTTTCCCCACTGAATCACGTCATTAAAGACGAGTCATAGATTCTTCGTAGCGTTTCAAAAAGCTGATTCTGCTTTTCATGGAGTGAAGCACTGGAGGAAGCCTGGAGGTACATTGGGAGGTATAGAAGGGGATATGATCGATGTGATGTGTGAAAGAAGGGTGCGTTCGTCATCCGTCAAGATCTATGAGGTCAGACAAATGTCAACGTTAGTTTTGATATCTTCATCATCACTTGCCTCATGAATGAAGAATAAGAATACCATTTTCAACACCATTTTTGTCATACTGACCAACACGAAAATAATATTGTGAAAAATTTGATTGCCATGGGATTTGCACTACAACAGAAACGTGCGCAATTTAAGAGGATTTTTATGTACAAGGAAATTGGAGCGGGCGAAGGAATTAAAAGACGAATAGGGGACATCATAACTTCGAACGAGAGTTGTAGCCTTACCGACGGGAAGCCATTTCACGAAAATGCTATAATTCCTTCCTCAACTCATTATCGGAAATGGTATTAGTAGAGGCGGAGAGTGCGTTAAAAGTCGTGCAGCGTAATTGATTTCTAATGCGGGATTACTATATGACCATATCATGCCAACGCAGATAATTTATGTAACTAAGTAGAAAGATTCTAATCACGTTCACCGTTTTTTTTCATAAAAGTAAACTTTAAACCTCTTGAAACTGCGCACTCAACAAACTAAGAACCCCACCACTTGATTTCAGTTTCATACGTTTCTTTTCCCAATTCAACCGTCGTACTGTAGTAGCCATGGACTGGGGGAGCTGGGGGAGGAGTTGTGAGGAAGGGCGGCACTTCAATACTTGTCCCTGTCTCGACTTACCAGGTACACGAAGCCTTTTCCTCGCTTAGAGTTCGGCTAGTCTTTGAGCAAGATTTTCCCTGATAGGTAAAGACACTACTTTAGCTCGATCGGATCGGCTACAAGTCACATTTGAAGGCAACGATTACGATAGATTTTTGGGGTTTACAGGGACGTGGGCGTGCTCAATGGTGTGCCAATTGCGAAAATGGCAGAGATTCGCCAAAAAGACGCAAAGGGCTCCCTTTTTCGGTTGTTGCTCTTCGCTTAAGAACAGCAGCGGCTGACAAGGGAGGTCGTTCAGGGTGTGCCAGCTTTTTCAAAATGGTTTCTTGCATGACATTGGGGCACATATGGGGACCACAGAAGCATGGTTCATTTTTCCTGAACGGCCTCTGAATACCAGAAAAGGGGTCTCGATTCCTCGTGGTGACAATTTTCATCGAGTTGACGTTTCAAAATGTGGCGCAAATGCGATGTTAGCAAAACATGAATGGTTTCAAAAAAAAAAATTCTATTATAGGGTTACTGACGGTTCCTAATCATGAATATGATGGTGCTGATTATTGTTCATGCTAACTCCATTTTGCGCGAATTTTGGAACGTCAACTCGAAATGCAAAAATTTGTCACCACGAGGAATCGAACTAGGGACCCCCTTTTCTGGTATTCAGAGGGCCGTTCAGGAAAAATGAACCATGGTTCTGTGGTCCCCATATGTGCCCCAATGTCATGCAAGAAACCATTTTGAAAAAGCTTGGCACACCCTGAACGACCTCCTTGTAAGACGACGGATGTATGGACGAGCTTCCCGCAACGCGTTCGGTGACACCGGTTATCGAACCCAAATCGCTCCCTCTTTATCGTAATCGCTTGCTTTAAGCAATAATTGATCAAATACGATTGCGATTATGAATGAAAACCGAATTGCATGCGCTAAATATTATAAGCAAAATCATTTGCCACTCCACACTCCAGCTTCTAGTATGGACAGACGCTGATGGTAGGGCAAAAGGGCTGTTTTTCATTGGCCGTAACCCAAGGTCCTATTTTGTAAGTCAAGTTGCGGTGCAAACGTGGGCGCTTCACGCTTCCCGAACAGCTTCAAATATATATAAAAATGAAGACCTGAACCAAAAACTAACTGACTCAATTGTGATCTTCCTTGATGAGAAAATGTATGCGAACAGTTTTCTTCGTCTGCTCGTCTTCAATTGTCTCGGTGTGCCTGATAAGTGCGATCGCTGCCAAGCCGTACAAAACGCATGAATACCTGAATGAGTCAACCATGAAACATGTAAAATTATTTTGGAAGACTCACAGAATTAATTGCAGAGAAGTGGTCATATTCGATCTTGAACAACTTAAAGAAAAAGTAGGTAAAGGACAGAGGCGAAGATTATGGGGCCGCAGCTACAAATTGGTCCCAAAGGAGGTCTAGTACATGCCGATCCCACTGCCAAGATCCCTTCCTGCCTTAAGGTGCGTTGCGGTGTCAAATGTAGTTAAATTAAACTGTGGCAATAACTCCCTCAAAAGCACCGTTTAACGTGCATGTTGCCCCCCTATACCCATCTGGGACCCCCATAAATAGCAAATGTAACCCCTGACCAAACTGATACAACCTCTGCTAACAAGACCTCAACGGTGATTCCTTAGTTATAGATTTCTAAGAAATTTCAGGTTATGGACATGTTATGTTAGACCACTTGAAGGCTTCCAAATATTTTTCACCACTGTCGTGTTTATATAAATATTTCGCTTCTTAATCACATCAGAGGGTTTCACAGTAGGGGGGGAGGGCGTTGTGGTCAGTGACAGTGACTATGCGGCCTACAAAATTCGTCAATTTTTGAAGCGTGTAAGAGGGAATCCCCGGGGTGCGTGAACCTTTTCACTTAAACTTTTACACCCACTCCGGAGCTTCCCTCCCTAGAAACAAGTGGATTACTTTACGCAATATGAGCTGTCGCACCACATGACCCCCTTACTGGATGAAGGATACCAATCAATTTATCAGGAAAATAGGATAGACATTACGACCGTATACTTAAAGAGCCAGTTTTACTACGCTCAGTTAGGGCAGATCAGTTTCCCCTAATAGAACAAGAAAAACCACCCACCCAGATTCACAACAGTGATGAGGCGATAGAGCCTGTTCTCAGCGCTGAGGTCCTGAACAGGCCTCTTTGTGCAGTGATATTTGATGTATGGAAAGCAGCCGACTCTGAAAAAAAAGATCTCAAAAAACACTTTTTTCCGCTTAAAAGAACGATATGACGGAGACAATGTTGAAGAAAGTGTTAAATGTCGCTCCTAAGCGAACAGCGTTGAATCAACGGGAACTAATATTTCTGCTGACGGAACATTTCGCGAGACAACATTTCGTATTGATTCACACATTCTCTATAAAATTCCGAAACTGTACAGATTGTCTTGGAAACAATTAGAAAATGCGGACTCGCTAGCGCCAGAAAATTGGCCCCATAGTCACGCAAGCCTTATTTATTACACGGACGTACAGCCGGCCAAGTAGAAGAGTCCAACTGTTAAGGTAAAGTCACTGTAAAACAAAAGCGGGAGTCAAAGAAGCATCACAGGAGATTTTGAGGGGTATTCACGAGAAAATTACAGATCGGAAGTCGTTTAAGGAAGTTGTAGAACGGTCAACTGACATCGGAAGACATCTGAGTTGTTCATCTTGTACCGCGAAGTTATTGAAGAGTGTTACAACAGCTGTGCGAACACATTCGAACCCACTTCGGCGACATTCGGCACAGAATTTAAAGTTCAAAAAAAGGATGAACCTGATGGATGATTGGACGGATTGGCGGTCATCTTTCAGTCACCATACGATGGGAACCAGTTGGAAAGTGTGTAATACACGATTCTAACTGGTATCAGTATCCAATCCTTCGCTTACATAGTAGGACAGGAGGTACATTATTGCGTGATTTGCCAACTTCTGCGCCGAATGGAAGGCTAATTTAAAACGAGAAAATGAAAGGAGAAGAATGACTACGAATCTGCTAATAGATGATTTGCTGTGAGGTGGCCGACGACTAAAGCGTGTGACGACGCATCCAAATAATGTCAACGAATTCTCTTCTCCTTAAGTAGCAGAGGTTAGAGTACGGCCACGATTTGTGCATTGGTTGCCGCGAGCACTGCTCGTCGCGGAAAATCATCGTATTAACTATGAACACTTGCAAGGCCTTAAAGTCACAACCCAGGCAGAACTCGTGGGAACGATTCCTTTCGGCTTCTAGTGTCAAAGGACAACTACAGATGTGGCATTCCCGTGCACGGAAATCGACAAGAGCGCTAGGGCCTTGCAAAGTGAGCTGCAGCAGCTGCAGTTTTTTCTTTTATCAGGCTGTTGTCTGGCGCCCTCTCATCTGTTGCTCTCTCGCCTCATACTCTCCTCTCCGCGCTTAGTCTCTCATTCCCTTAGCACAGCCGATTAGGAAGGTGAGTGAGCCCTTAACCTGAGCGTTTTCGACGGATTCTTTTCCTTTTTTCTTTACTGCCGGCCCATTTCCCACCAATACATTCGCATTCGTGTGCATGCCTCACCAATTTGATTCTGGGGCATGCCTTCAAGAGTAATGAAGTTCAGAGTGCGGCCCCGTCTAAGATTTGATCTACGTCAAGTACTCCTGTTCTTTGCTAACCATCACAATACAACGAACGAACTATTCTACGCAGAGAAGCCTCGCAATATGAGCCACAAATCCGACACGCATTAAAAATCGTAGGTGGATCGGATGCGTATTCGACAAAATCCCTATATGCAACGAATACTTCGTGGTCAAGTCCACAAACTACTTGACCATAATCGATTAATATTTAGATTTCGTCTTCGAAATTCTGTATCAGCATGGACGGGGCGGGGTAGTGACAAAGAGCCCTGCGTACATCCGCATGATGAGAGGCTACATCCCGAATCGAATCCTGCTCACGCCAAATCAAGCTTCCCACCCCTGGTTGAGTGGTGCTAGAATCGGGACAACTGGGGAGAACAGGGAGGTCTTTTCCGGAACGAGGAGACACTGCAGTGCACATTCTGCTCCAATGCCAGTTTGACCAAGGAGTCCTTTAAAGCTACAGGCTGCTATCAGCTTTATTGCTACATTGTCTTCTCTTTTTTTATATAATGTATGAGTTCTTGTGTTTTATGACATAAACGTCTACAAAAAATAATAACCTAGTGGGCGGGCTAGAATTGAACCCAGGAAGGGGGAGGGGGAGGTTCATACCGAAAATACCGAATTTGTTCACGAACTCGGGGTTTTCCTTCCCTTCTAAGGCACAGTCCTACACCTTTACATTAGGAGATCTGCTATCTGTGGTTTTGAACACGTTGAGCGCTCTGAACCGCATGCCCCCTAACTGGAATAGACCCCACTCAATTGCATTCTACATGGCCTTCACAATTACTTGGGACAAGCCGTACATATTCACTTTTTCAATTGCGGAACGTGTGCTGCACCATGTAAAGCATGCCATCTCACGGAAAAGATTAGTCATGTTCGAATTATTTAGCATATTTTAGGTTAAAAATACACCATTAAGCTTTTTCATGCACAAAAAACATCATACCATTGAGCACAAATAAACTGACTAGATAGAGCATGGGTTACTGTAAAACCAGACGGCAAAAATCTATAGAAGTGCTCACATAAGTGCGGTACGGAGTAGATTAAACGCCACTACGACTCAGAATAAATGCAGAATTGAGGTACATCGAATGATTGACCAACGTCGAATTATCCGACACTCTTTAGTTTCATTAGCTTTACATTTTCTCTTCGCGAACAATGGCCATTGTGAAAATACTGTAAAGCGCTTAGTTCTAGTTCGATTCAGGTAATTTCATTACGATACCGCTGATTTGGTGACCCTTGGAGAAGCATTGAAAAAAAATTAGAAAATCTAAGAAATTTCGCTCGGGAAGACAGAAGCACTTATCGTGCACCTGCGAGATCGCCGCGAAATGGCTCGCCACCAAATTGAGGTGAAGCAATGAGCTGCCTGGCAATCATTAACGAAGCCCATTAAAGTACGAAAGAAGTCATACTGCCTGTAAGTCAGCCGTAGACGACGATTAAGCAGAATCGATTGAGGCACACACAGAAAACACCCACGGCAATATATCAGAAAGGGAGCTGACGTGCGACGCACTGAACTAACAGAAAATACTTAAAAGGGGATCGAGGGAAAGTGTTCCTAGATATGTAGCAGAGAGCCATTGAATTTTATTCCTTATATCCAGCATAAGGGACCTCCGCAGGACTCAGCAGGACAAATGAAAGGAACAGTCATCCTCAAACAGTCGCGATAGCAAACGTGTGACATACACGCGAAAAAGCGATAGAAATCGAACAGAGAAACTGTGAAAAACAAGATCGCACGGATACCTTTGACCTCTTGTTAACTTCCTTTCAATCGTTGCTTTGAAAGAGCGGGTTTTGCCAAAACTCGGCTCGCGCCATCAAAATCCACCTTTGGTGCAACAGAATGGCTGCTCAACGACCAAAAACAAGCAAATATGCACAGGATTTATGATGGTGTTGTCGATTTACAAGATTGAGCCACGTGATGGCGTTGTTTTCGACGAACCAGACAAGGTGACAGTGGAAAGAGCAACCCCCGAACAGAACAGCCTTGTAGGAAGAGGGATCAAGGAAAGACGACGTGATCATGTCTTAGGCTGAATAAAAAAATTGAGGCGAAGGTTTCTGACAGTTTCAGTGCCAGAAGGCCATTTATTATAAAACGACCCACTACATTCTACCACTGAAACGGTTCCACATAGGAAAACCCATACCACTCGTGATATTCACAGAACTTTTAGTCCTTACCCTATCTGTTGGAGGGATGTGTTAATCTGATCAATAGGTTGACCAAGACATCTTTTACCACATTCACGACGGTGCCCTTTTTAGCTTTTGAAAGAACGGGCTTTTTAAAGGAATGGCGATTTTGCCTCACGTGCGATTATTTGTGTGGTAAAACGAACAAAAACATGAATGGTGCCAAAAAATTTAGTATTCTGAGGACGAAAAGTAGCAAAAATATGCAAAACATTACGACAAACGTTGGTAGGCGAGGGTGAATGAGCGTGAATGTTGACGACAATTCGACTTCAATGCCTTCATGATCGGAGCTTATTACCGATTCGATTGTGAACAACACAAAAGTGAAGTCCTATAAAATTCCAACAATTCATGCTTCGCCAGGAACTCCTAATCTCCCCTACACACTATTTTCAACTTAATTATTGAAAAAAAGGGCGAGAAAAATATCTTTGTCATGCGCTCCCGCATCCTCTCTTCGCAGATTTTTTGAATTGATACAGAAACACATTACGCAACATACAACATTTACAGGACCAGCCTAATGAACATCTCCTGGCTAATTCATCTCTCAGTCCATTATCCGGAAAAAAGAAGCTTAGGGCCCTGGTGGTGTTTATTCATCCTGGACCGTAAAAAAGGTGACAACTCATCGCCAAGTTACCTACATGGCCAGACTGTACTATCGTCACTATTATTATGCATTCATCTGTTACTTTTACCTACTACATAACAGTTTAAAATACCGAAAGTTTTCCAGTAAAGAAGACCGTAAGCTCCCCAACTTGCAAGGAAGGTGTCCTCATCAACAATCAATTAGCTAAAAGAGACATCCAACAGAGGCTCAGGGAACCCCATTATATCATAACTATTATTAGCGTTACCTACATGAACTACAAAACGTGAAGGATATGTCAAAAAGTTCATCGAAAACGTTGTTGTTCGCTATAAAGGTCCCCTCAAAAAAAAAAGCTGAGGGTTGATAACTTTCTCCATTGTCAACCTCCGAACTCTCGAGTATTCAATAAAGCTAGTACACAATTACTTTGAACGGAAACCTAATGCATGATACTTGGGAAGAAAAATGTACGAAAAACCGTTTCCGTGATAATTTTTGACCACTGCTGCGTGCTCGTTTTATTTTGTAAGAAGCAGGTGAGCCAAGAACATATTCAGTTGAAGTATAACAAATGGGAAGAAAGCGTTGTCAAACAGCGTTCAATTCCTTGAATACGCGTCAGTGTTCGATTTGCATACGGAATCATCGCCTCATTTCATTGCAAATGAAATGTTCGGGTCATCCCTAGAGGACGCGTTATTGGAACGAATTCGGCATCGTCGATATAGCAAAATGAAGAAAACATTAAGAATTATATACATTAATTATCACATGACGACAGGCCAATGTGCTGTTGACGGCATTTTTAAAATAAATTTTTTTTTTTTTTCTAAACTATTTCTAATCCTTCAATATTTTGTTGTGCTAAGAGGTCTGTATTCTGGAATCCACATTAAAGTCAGACGAACACATTCACAAAATAACCAAAGTAAATCGACAAAACCCTGTCATTCACTTGGGATGACGCCATGCCGAGTCATGCTGCGTAGTGTTAAGTCTCCCCTCGGATGTATTCTGATGGAATTCAAGAGCAAGCTCATTCAATCTATATGTTGAAATGCATGCGCAAAATTTGCAATATTCTTCCCACTTCCTCCCTCAAAAGATTCACCTTCCCTTCGTCTCCCTCAAAAGATTCACCTTCCCCTTACCCTCCCTCAAAAAGAATCACCTCCCTTATCTCACTTACTACTATAAAGGTCAATAATAACCGACTATATAAATATATAACTGAATATGAAGAAACAACAACAAATTTTAAATCGAAGAATAGCATGTAAAGCCTCATATAACA